GTAAGGACAAATTGGGTGGAGGTTCGAGGGGTTTTGGATCTAGATCAGGTATAAATAGAAAAGGAAGAAGCGGGAAGAGGAAAAAGTAGTATGGGTGAAAATAGGTATGGTGAGGATGATGACGATGATGATGATGACAAACGATGTTGGGGGCAAGGGTTCGAAACTAAAAAGAGTTTTCGGATTTTGAACGGGTGTAAATATAAAAGGTAATAGGCGAAACGGTTGGATGTATTTTTGGGCCGGCTGTGTAGACGCTTTGCTTAATTTCCGTTGGAACTTTCCCCCCGTTTTGTTTATAACAATGAAAACAACGACTGATATCATTTTCGCAAAAAGATGGATTACATTAAATGACGGGTTTATTTATTGCATAAAAAGACGATAAGATACGATAAAGCAGCAACATGCTTTTTTTGTTCCTTTCCTTCTTTAAAAGAAAGTCAGAGAGGGAAATAAAATTTTTTTAAATTAAAATTTTGAACAAGAAAAGATGGGAGAAACAGTACGCAAATTATTCAAAAGAAAAATAATAAAGTTCTTTTTTACAAGTTGAATCTTCCATTTCACGACAACTACAAAAAAAAAGATACTGAAAATATACTTTCAACAAATTTGAAACAGAATAAAAGTTATCTACAAGAGATATACTGCATCGACTTTATCTCATATGAAGCGAAGAGTACATTTGTAACGTATGGTGTAAAATTACATAATAAAGATCGTCTAGATCATTAAAAATTTTCCGATAAACAAAAAAATATATTTTTTTTACAACTCTAAAATTATGGGATCTTTTTCAACCTGCTAACTTGATCCCTAGTCTAACTACCATCACACACCCCGTCTTTCCCACCTTCCCTCCATCAGCTACCGATTATCTTCTATACTTGACTGAGATGTTCTGGCTATTGATTGAGATAGTATTGGTGGTGGTGGACTTGGGTAAGTGGTTTCAGAGCTTTCTCGCGTGTTAGCAGTTGATGTTTGACCCGGATTCGACGAGCGCCGAGTATGCGTACTATTATCATTATAATTATTATTATTATCCGTCAGAGTCGCATCCGGCCTTCTTCTCGGGGGAGCGGAAGTATATAATACCATATCCTGAAGCCTGTGTCGATCATATCCTGGTATCGGCCCATACGGTAAATTACATATCGGTGGTGCCGTCGGCGTGTATGCCGGTGGGCTTATCGTTGGAAGCTCAGTATAAAAACCCAGATCGTCCAATTGGTCTTGGCGCAAAGAATCGAATGGAGATATGGATCTATTCGTTATGCCTGTACGGTTGGAAATGTCATTTGTTTCGTCAGACATGTTCAATACGTCTTCTTTTTCTGCAAAGCCAGTCATGGTGTTTTCATCACTCTCGCTGTTGCTCACCAGCTCTGCAGCCATTGGCGCAGACGGAGTAGCTGGAGGGGTTGTGAACGCAGGCGGAAAAGCTTGTATTGCGGGTGATCTTGTTTGTTGTTGTCGTTGCGGAATAACGGATGAATAAACTGTAACGGACGAGTTGGTTGTTATTGCTGCTGGTAATGGTGTGATAGATGCAGATTTTTCATCTGATATTTCTGGGGAAGAGGGTTGTACTTGTATGTCAGGTATATCAGAGTGTGTCTCCACTTCCGTTGCACTCTGTCTGTTATCGTTATCACTCATTTGGTTAAAAACTCTAGGTTCAGCACCGCTCAACGCTCTTCCTCTTTCGATAGTACTAGTTGAATTATTTGCAGTTCTTTCTCCCTTATTCCAAAAACCA